CTTCGCAAAATGACAATAAATAGGCTCCACAACTTAACGATTCATATAATTGGAAATTATGTCTTGAATTCTCAGTTTTGATTTTAACATGCTCTAGATGGTAGGCATTAAAACAATATGCTCTTTATAATTAACTCAAAGCATAATTTATCCAACAAATTAATTAGAAAAGAACTGTGTGGAAGCATTCCTTCTTAACAATAATGAAGAAATTTCTTGGATATGATGTTATTTCTTCTTGTGAATTTATGGTATCTCCTCTTCTACATATCTTCACTAAGAATGTCATGCTCATTCCTCCACTGTACCAATATTCCCTTGTTGCCTTCTTGTCCTTGTCTGATTTATATTGAAACAATATGACATCCTTCCAACTTGACGAAGTGAAATATTTTAACAAAGACAACGGAAGTGCCATTATAAGCCACAAAATAGCTTCTTAAGATTATAGGGGGGATACGAAAGGAATAGAAAAACAAGAAGAAAGAACAACCCCGAACAACCTTGAACACTGAAGAACCTAGCCTCAAAACATGTCTTTGCTCTTTCCTTAAGACACTATTTGTCCTTAACACTCCAGTGATTTGGGACTCAAATACACCTTCAAAATACAATGAAACATATTTTCTTGTTGTGCATCCATAAAGGCAATCCTAACATCAAGGATTAAAGATGTCTATAAGGAATATACTTGTTCTCTAGAATGACAAACAAGTTTAATACAAGAAAGGAATGCAAATGATGATTTATAGTACAAGAATATCTCGGGAAACAAAGGAACATTCTTTAGGCATTACATCAAAATGATTCTCAAGTATATATTGAATAACGATTCACTGATCTCATTTGAGAAAAACTTCAGTGGAGCAACCGCACCATATAGTGGTACAACTGCCCTATCAAGGTACGCCACCTTGACGGGTGGCCCACCACACATCTCGGGCGATCGTGTCATGTGGCAGTGTGACTGTCCTATCAAGGTGATCCAACTGGACAGATAGCCTACCACACACCAGCCTACCACACACCCCCGAGGTGTGTGCATAGCCGGTCCTGTGTTTGATGGGCCCTGAGGCGAACGATGAAAATTAGGCCCTCTAGCGACAAAATTCAAAGGTGTATTATGCGACTCATTGCTAACTTAAAAAACTAACATTAAAACAATAACGGAATATATCATAGAAACGATTTATATTATAAACCATCAAACCAAAAATTTCAAACAATTAGTTAAATACTATTCGTCTTGCTGTTTTAGAGGCAAAAACATCAATCAAATCTGAATAACTTAGCTGCTCAACCATTTCTTTTTCTATTGATAATATAGCCAACTCGTTTAATCTTTCTTACGACATAGTTGATCGAAGATAGGTCTTGATCAACTTTAATTTCGAGAAACTTCTTTCTGCAGATGCAACTATAACCGGTATGGTTAACAAAATTTGGTAAGCAGTATAAGCATTTGGAAAATAAACATCCAATGTCTTCAAATATTGTAGCACTTCAATTGCTCTTGTTGCTTCACTTGGTATATAACACCTCAAGACTTGTAACTCCGAATATAAATCATTCCCACTGATGTCCGAACGCCCATAGTTTGTCAGCTAGTTCTCGAATGGAAAGAAGCCTTTGTCGATTATTGGAAACTCAAGAAGGACCTCAAAAAAATCCATCTCCTCAACAATGAGAAAACATAGAACAAAAAACATGTGAAGTTGCATACTTGTGAACAAACAACACTTGGTGCAAGTTCCTAAATTATTTAATGTTTAATCATGGGAATATAATCATGGGAAGTTTCATACTTGCATTGGTGGATGTTGTAATCATTATATCAACATTTTGTTTCTGTTTTTTCAGCTAATTATGAAAGAAACACTTCATACCCCTAGAGTCTGTTATGTCACTGTTTGGATCGGTGTCGATGGGTGAAAACAAATTTAGAACCGTTAAATTGGTGTCAACATTATCCTGATATATTTGCCATTTTATCTGGAGGCATGCTACATTTATGCATTTTGGTTGCTGAAACGTGTATAGTAATCTGTAATCATAGTGCGTGATTTTTTCACATAACTAAAGTCCATTAAACTCTTGTAGGTGGCTGAACTTTGAAGACCCTTTAATCAATAGACATCCATGGACTACAATGGAGGACAAGAATCTTTTGTATAATATCCAGCAGAAGGGTCTAAGTAAGGACAAGAGCGAAGTAGGAATTCAATGACAAGAAGCTACCTGGGCAGAGCCTCGGAGGTGGAATGTGGTGAGTCGAGTGACCGGATGGGGCGACGAACAGACGGAGAAGACGCAGACACTTAGAGTAGACGAGCAGTAGCACCGAACCGGAGCACGTCGACATCAAGAGGAGTAGCTGCAGCCCTAAATCGTATCTTTCACATTTCAAATTTGGGAATTTGGGTAAATGGGTTGTGAAATTGGATTTGGGTATATGAGTTGGGTTGAAATTTTAAGGTAAATGGATTGTGGGTTGTTGGATAATTAGTTTTGGGCTGGATCATATTATTAAAAAAATTTTGGAGCCAAAAATGGGCCCATTAATGGTCTTGGGCCTGAGTTGCGGGCCTCACTGGCCTCGTCCCAGGACCGGGCCTGGGTGTGTGGGCCACCTCCCACCTGTCGAAGTAGCCTCTTGGCATTGAGCTAGCACACCACACTGAAGATTTAGTCCTCATTTATATATGGTGAAATAATTGTTTTACTAGCCATAAGTCACATCCATTCGTATTTAAAGTTTCATAACAGAATATAAGTGAAAACTGTTGAGAGAATTGAAAAAAGCACGAGCTCTGGTGCTGACCAGGGACTGCATGTGGGCCTTGTCCCTTCAAGCATGCTGGAATCCCTATAAGCCTCAGCCTGGCAACCCAAAAGCTCTAGGTGGCTATTCATATGATTCTATGACTCATGCAAACTCTTTTACACATCTAATGAGAAATACTATTTGGCCAAGGTCATTTGCACAGACTCTGGCCAGATTCTCTCTTGTAGGGGACCAATCCACATCTAATAATGTAAAAAATTGACATTATTGTTGAAAATGTTTTTCAGATTGTACCTGTGTTTTATGGATAGGGGTTTGTTTGAGCCACATTATTTAAAAAAAAAAAAATATATATATATATATATTCTTCAACAGTGATTTGACATCACTTCAATTACATATTTTTCAATAAAATAATATTATACGTAAATCTAAAAATTTTCCTTATTTTTTAATCACACATTTTTCATTGATTTAATATGAATAATGCATTTTTTCCTAGAACGGGGCTCAAACACAGGCTAGATGAGAATCAAACTCAGTGCTGGAACTTTAAAAGAGTCGGAAAAGGATGGGGGGCAGACCTGATCGCACCCTATAAATAAGGGGCAACTTACAAAAATACCCTTAAAATTAGATGTATTTTGAAAAATCATATGAAAAGTTTTTAGGAAGTAAAAAATACTGTATAAAATGAAAAAGTGACACAATGTCACTTTTTTATTAAAAAAAAAAATTGTCACTTTTTTTTCACAAACTCAAAAAAAGTGACCAAATTAAAAAAAAAAAGTGACATGAACACTAGAAAAGTTTTACAAATTCAAAAAAGGTGACACAAACTTAAAAAAGAGTAACAAACACCAAAAAAAAACTATTCATTTGTGCAACACTAGTAATCACGTTTTCAACATAATCAACATATTTAGGACAATTCACGTGAACATAGTGGGGGTTCTTAACATAATCAACATGTGCATTGTCCACACGCTAATTATGTTAGGAAAATATAACATATTATATCACTTTTTTTTTATCTTCTTCAAAAAGTGACAAAAACTTAAAAGGTGACAAAAAACTCAAAAAAGCGAGAATCTAAAAAAGTGACGCAGTGTCACTTTTAAAAGTTTAGTGTTACTTTTTTATTAAAAAAATAACATACAATCTCACTTTTATTACAAAATGATGTTTGTCACTAAAAAGGTGATAAAAATTTCAAGAAGGCAACTGAAAAAAAGAAGAAGCAACGAACACTAAAAAAAAGTGACAAATACTAAAAAAAAGTGAAAATTTTCAAAAAAGTGACAAACACTAAAAAAGTGACGAATTTAAAAAAGAGATAGAAATCAAGAAGGCGACAAGCATTAAAAAAGTGATAGAAATTCCAAAAAGATGATTGGAAAAAGTGACAAAAATTCAAAAAAAGTAACGACTAATTAAAAAAGTGACAGATTCCAAATAGTGAAAGAAATTTAAAAAAAAAAAGTGACGAATTTAAAAAAGAGACACAATGTCACATTTAAAAGTTTAGTGTCACTTTCAAATTAAAAAATGACATATAATCTCATTTTTATTAAAAAAGTGGTGTTGTCACTAAAAAAGTGATAAAAATTTTAAGAATGTGACTAAAAAAAGTGACAAAATTTCAAAAAAGTGACAAAAATTCAAAAAAAAAATAATAAATAAATAACAGAATCTAAAAGTGACAAATGTGACCAATACAAAAAAAAAAGTGACAAAAATCCAAAGCGACACAAATTTGACGAACACTAAAAAATGTGATACATTTCTTATAAGTGGAAGGCCCATCGTGTTTGGGCTATTAGGCAGCTTCTTTTACGTTTTTACCCATTTTAAGAGAAAATCTGTAGGCCTGCGGCCAGCTCCCAATGTGCCTGGGGAAACTTGACAAATGATTGCGTCCCAAATTCGAACCCAAGACTTGTGCATATTATGAATATGAACGGTGCTGCAGAAAAACATTAAGTATATATAAGTACAATTACTGGACTACTCGATTGTGTACTCTTCACCAACCGCCATTATCAGTCAATACTATCAGCTGTAGCAAACAATGAAAATTTGCTTTTAGGGGTGGGGGCCTGATGACATATTACCATGAAAAAATTATTGTTTCTCAATTATAGACACAATCCAACGCAAATTAACGCGGGATGCAAGTTTCAGTTTGAGGACAGCAAAATAAAGAACTCCCCGTGATCCCTTCAAGAGAAAAAAAGATAGAAACAATTAAACTTTCCCTTATCATTTGGGGGATCCACCTTAGACTTTTTACTTGTATTTAAAACCAGGCCAGGTGAATAAGACCTTGTATTTAAACTCTTCACAGACTCTTGTCACTATAGAGAGGTTTTCACAAGTTTCCACTCCCTACACTTATAGAGAGGAAGAAATGGGAAGGCCTCCTTGCTGCAATAAAGTCGGTATCAAGAAAGGACCATGGACTCCTGAGGAAGATATCATTTTAGTTTCCTACATACAAGAACATGGTCCAGGAAATTGGCGATTAGTACCTACCAACACCGGTATCTTTCACTCTTGGATCTTAGTTCTTTAGTGTAGATTTTTGAAGTGCGTATAGAAAAACAGTTTAGTTGTGAGTTATCTGTGTGTGATTTTGATCTTGTTATACATTGTAATGGATCTAAGTTTTATGCTTGTTCAGGTTTGTTGAGGTGCAGCAAGAGCTGCAGGCTAAGGTGGACTAATTACTTGAGACCAGGAATCAAGAGGGGGAACTTCACTCCACATGAAGAGGGGATGATAATCCATCTCCAAGCCTTATTGGGAAACAAGTAATGTTTAAAATCTTCAAACCTCTCTCGATTTTTCACAATATTTTTAATCGTCGCCTTATAGTTTTGTTTTTTGGACAGATGGGCAGCTATAGCTTCATACTTTCCACAAAGAACAGATAATGATATCAAGAACTACTGGAACACTCATCTTAAGAAAAAGATCAAGAAATTTCAAACAGGTTTGGATGCACAATTGGCATCTGATTCGGCAACTTGTCGATTTCTGTCAAGTTACAACGAAAAGGGCCTCGACAATAGCAGCCGGCATGACTCGTCAAGCAATGTCAGGTTAACCGAAAACTCCAATTCGATATACGCTTCAAGTGCAGAGAATATATCCCGACTACTCGAAGGATGGATGAAATCATCCCCAAAGATCAGTCCTCAAAACAATCCCAGTGCTGAATGTTGTGAGGGTACTACTACTACTGCAGAATCACGTCATTACTATAGACAGAGGGTTGATCAGCAAGAAAGCACTAAAGTAATTCCAAGTGATGAATTTGAATCCATTTTGTCATTTGATCAAAACGTTAATGGATTGGCCTGTGACAAGTCATCTTGTGATTCTAGTAAAAAAGGCTCTGAAATAAGTGGAAATGAGGAAGAAAAAGTTAATTTTGTTGTGCATGAGCAGAAGCCAAAGATGGAAAACAATCCTCCTCTATCATTTCTTGAGAATTGGCTGCTGGATGAATCTGCAAATCATGAAGGAGAAGAAGTTATGGGACTTTCACCAATATTCTAGCTCATTTTCAATCACAATAGGCCCTTAATTTGCAAGATGAGTAGCTTATTCTATGAAGTATGACCCAAAAATGAAAGGATCAGTCTTTGAAACTAATCTTGTTTTAGGTTTCCAAAAAGTTGGATCTCTCCACTGCTTCTTTCCTTGAACACTGTAACTTTGATTACCTATCAGATATAATTTATCCGTTAATGGACTGTTATTTGAAACTTTGATTGCATATCAGATATGATTTATCCGTTAATGGACTGTTATTTGAAGCTCTCTTTTAACCAATCCATCTTTACTTCCTTCACTTTTATGCACATTAAGCCTATGTTTGTCGTTGGTTAAAAATTTGCTAAAAATTTAAGTCAAACTCAAAAATTTAATTTAACCACACATTTTATGGCATTCACAATTTTTTAACCACACATTTCATTAATTTCTATCAAAATTTATTAAAAATATAATTTTTAACTGCACGTGAGAGAAGCTAAATATGTTCATTAACGGTGTGTTTGATTACATTTATTTTCCACAGAAAATATCAATTTTTCACCCAAATTCTTACTTTGAGTGTTTGATTGTTATTTTTTTCCATGGAAAATATTTTCCAACTTTTGAAAATATGCCTAATTTTCCTTATTTTTAAGGAAAACATTTTCCTTGGGTAAAGGTGATTTTTATTTTTCACAAAAGATGGAAAATATTTTTTTTTTAGGTGATATTTTTCATGTCAATCAAACACACTCTAAATTAAAACTTAAATCATTTCACCTAGAAGTACGAGCTCCTTCACTCATTCGTTATAGACGTAGCTTAGTCGTGAACATCTAAAATTTTTGACGAGTGTGCTAAAAAACTGTCCAAGAACTTGTACAGAATGAGACAAGAATTTTGTAACCATTTACTTTTTTCAAAATCCGACAAGCACAGTTTTCATAAATTAGCACTTAAGAACACATGACATTTAGGGTGCGTTTGCGTTTTCTATTTTCAATTTTGAATTTATTATTAGTATTTTTGTTTTGAGGGACTATTTCGAATTACGAAAAATTGTTTGGTTTGTCATTTTGAAAAAGGGTTTTCAAAATAAAAAAAAAATTAGAAAATGCGTTTGGTTTAAAATTTTTAGAAATTATTTTATAACATTTATTCAATTAATTTGATTATTTAATAAAACATAATAATTTTATGTTAATATAATACCAGATAATATATATTTTAAATTTGATTAATTTACAATTTTATCTTGTTACAAAAATAAAATAATAATTTTTTAGAAATTATTTTTTAACATTTATTTAATTATTTGATTATTTAGTAAAACATAATAATTTTATGCTAATATATTACCGGATAATATATATATATTAAACTTGGTGAATTTACTATTTTTTTCTTGCTACAAAAATAAAATAATAAATAATAAATCTATAGACCAAAAATAGGAATCATTGTAAAGAAAATACTTAGTCTGTCCTTCATCCTTCTGGATGTATTTTGCCGTCACTTGGACAGTAAAAAATGAAATAATAATTCTTTCAAATTTTGATCAACGAAAAAAAACAATAATGGAAATTGAAAAGTGTTGTGGTTTTTAAAATTATTATTCTTCACTAAATTATATCAGATTACAGCATTTTATTTTAAAAGTACTACTGAACATCCTCTGAGTAAAAAAATAATAATAATTCAAACGGCGTGTTTTGAACGTTTTTCTCATTTTGAATTTTTTAACTGAAATCACTCAAAACGAAAAAAAATCATTTTAAATTATCAGTTATAAATTTTTCCTTATTTTCTAAAATGCATTTTCGGAAATGACAGACTAAACACGTTTTGGACATTTTTGAAAACTAAAAACCAAAAAAAAAAAAAAATGCTTGAAAAGGGCAAACCAAACGTGCTCTTATTTACTATGATACGATATAAAGCCCCCATTTGTTTCGGATAAAATTTTGACAAAAATTGTTGAAATATATGATTGAAAAATTATGGATTCCAAAAACGATTAAAAATGAGTTTGAAAGAAATTAAATTTTAAGAAATGGAGAATGAGAATGAAAATATTTTAAACGGTCCCGTTTGTTTCTCATTAATAGAAAAATGATAATGAAAAATATAGTTTTTATAGACCGAACATAAGATATAAAAATTTAACTATGGTGATTTGATGTGATGAATAACGATCATATTTTTTATTTTAATGATCATTATAAAACAAACAGGAATCAGTCTATGATAATTTGATGTGATGAATGACGATCATATTTTTTATTTTAATGATCATTATAAAACAAACAGAAATCAGTCTATTTGAAAGTTTATATTTCTTCTGAGAAATTTTCTTAGAAGGCATTGATATAGTGTTACATCACTGAATTAATTATGAAATGATACAACTGATAAGTACATATTTCTGACCTTTTCTATGCACTTCTGATGACAGATGTATCTCGAATTTCACGCCCTTGTGGTCACATTAATTTGGAGATTGTGACTTTTTATTAAAACCAAGTTTGATATACAATTTCAAATAATAATTTAGTATTCACATTACCATGCTGAATTTATCGTTTCCCATAAAATGTCGTCTCAACAAGCATGTACTTAGACATTTTTGACACTATGAAACATTGAAGGGTCTCAAATATTCGACAAGTCTAGTCTCCTCAAATACTTAACAAGATTCAAGTTTATGTTTTATTTAAAATTCTATTCTATTAAATTTTATATCAACTTTATTATTAAAAAAGATAAAAATTGATATAGGAAAAATAAAGAAATAATAGCATCTTATAACAAATTGGTCAATAAAATCAAATAAAGCTATTATCTCTCTCGAATTCGAATCTTAATTTGAACTTGTTTACTGCTAGAATAACTCTAAAAGTTCAAGCTCGACATTTATGTGAAAATGAAGTTCGATTAAGTTGGAGAAAAATCTAGATCTTGCTTAATTATTTTGGTCAAACGCAAGTTTGGATTCAAAATTCTCTCGGATGATTACCCTATATTTATTTGCTACGTAGTACTCAATTGAATTATATTTTTTTTTATAATATAATCTAATTTTAGATAATAAACTTTACTAACGTGTCTTAAAAATCTTTGTTATGATTTTTACGAGAAGAGCATGCAAGGATATTGAAAGGTACAGTGTCACGGAGGTCCTGCTAATGAATATGGCATATATGGGTTGTTTCTTTCACATATGATCTGACTTAAGAGGGAATTGCATGTGAATTCTTTACCTTTCAGTATGTGGAACTCAAATGCCGAATCAAGTAATTTTATATATAAAAATTTCTTCCATGTTTCTGCCCAAAATATATTCCGTGAACATTTTATGAATATTTTACATGTCAATGCACGTAATGAAAAATAAATTAAACTTACATGTATTGGAGTACGCTAAAATTGTCGTGAATAAAAATTTTATTTTAAGATATGTGTGTGTTGAACTCGATGAATCCTTAACTATCTTTCGGGTTTGAGTGATTTTGAAGTGATCAAATCTCATTGTCACCGGCGAGAAACTATGCATAATGTATACGTGTTATTAGAAAACTGTAATAGATTGAAAAGCACAAATAAACTAAGTTCAATAAAAATCATCCTAAAAAAATCTAATTAATGTAAAATCACAACCCTACAAATTGTTAATTAATCTTTTTATTCCATCACTTTCCACACTACTATCAAAGGTTGGCAGTTGGATGCATGTGATATAACTTTCCGCACTATTTTGACATTTTTGCCCTTATTTCTACATTTCCTTGCGAAAAAGTTATTTTCACTATTTTTAATGTAAAATGACCAAAATACCCTCTCATTTAAATGAAACCAAAAAAATAAAAGAAAAATAAAGAATAAATTACAATCTTACTTCTAAATGTTTTAAAAAGTGCAAGTGAGTCCAAAAAATTATTAAAATACCTAATAGTTCAAAACGTCTCTACATTTGGCCTATATTGTGAAAAACGTCCATACGTTTCAAATTGGTGAAACATGGAAATAGGAATGAAAATGCAAAAAAAATTGAAATATAGGGACGTTTTCCGCAAGAAATATCAAACCGTCAAACGTAGAGATTTTTTCACTATTAAGCCTTATTAAAATATTAAAAAAAAACTCTCTCTCTCTCTTTTCTCTTCTTCGCCAAACAGGACTATCATGTTAGAAGTGGAAAAAATTTCGACCAACCATCGTCCAAACCACCGAACCTCTATGCCGCTAAACTATCGGTTGATATTTTAAGACCATGAAGAGAGATGCCCTATTAAGTATAGTCGATTAGTGTGTTGCAAATGGCATGAGTCTCTTCGAAATAGATGATGCTGCCAGTAGTTGCATTCATGAATTAGGTATTTTAACTTGCAATTTCGAACAAATCTATTGGTATGAAAGTTTCAAGATTGGATGTTGGGGGGTATGTGTAAAGGGAAGTGAGGGCTTTCGGTAGTATAGTGGTATAGGAGTCTGGGCTGTGATTTGTAGGATTTTTTGGCTTCTACTAACACACCCCGTCTGGTGTAATATTACTAGACTCGAACGTGGTATGCATCGATGATAGATACCAACTAAAAGTCGGACCCACCATCAAGACTACTACAAATACAATCTACCACTTTTTATACATCATTTTTAACAGAATTTCGGCATTATCTCCCCTGTAAACAGAACTAACCAACCCGTAATTAATTACACACAAATCCCAAACTATAATACAACACAATAGAGATAAGCTGAAATCTTAACTTTTACCAAGAAATAACATGAAATGTACATATGGATACAAAATACATAGTGAGCCCCATAACTATCTATAAGTGATGCAAAATCACATCTAGATATGGATATGTATCCCAAAATATTGACTACGTGCTCTATGAAATGAGTCATACTAACGAAATCTGTCGTGTGGCTCTAACTACAAAATCAAGACTCAACCCCAAAAGATACCCAGATACTCAACTGCTGCCTGATAAGAAAAAAAAACGTGAGAAAATACAGTGAGTGGAGACGTTCGAAAAAATATATATTTTTTCATTTATACCTTTTTATTGAAAATCAAATTCATATCATTTGATAATTCACAAGCTACAATCATGTAATTATAGTCAAAAAGTGAAATATTCACATAAGGTCATAAAATATCATCTTAAAATAATGATATGAAAATCAGCTGATAACCATGCTATAATCTCATCATATCAAATGTGCTGAAAAATATACCA